GGGGGAGGGGACTTGGACAAAAGAAATTTTTTTTTACCAAGCGAGCGTCGAGCAATAACACATACGCACATTGTCGCTGCATTGCATAAAACTTTTGTTGGCAAGGTTGTATTATCTTTGGGAGGGCCTTTAATAGGTACTTTTATTTCGTTAATCTTCTCAAATAACTGCCAAACAATACTTCCCCTGCGTTTGCTTGACATGGTACAATTTGATCAAATCACACTAAATTTAATAGCACAGATTTACATAAAAGAAAAGACTTCAAGCAATAAATGGATCAATATTATTTTAAAATACAGTTGAACATATGTAAGACAGAATCGCAAGGAGCTAGAAAAAACATTTTGTCTTTAGAAATTTTCCATCTAAGACAGGGGAATTTCCGGGAAGATGGAGGGGGGAGCACGGAGATTCCGTTTTGAAAGGTTTCCGTCTTACACAGGTTTCCGTTAAGGCAGGTTCGGTGGTATTGATTGTTTGGTCACTAACCTACATTAACGCCATGCAAAGTTAAGCTTGTATTTCCAAATAGGTCACAACGTGGTGAATCAAGCGCTCATCCATTTTTGGGCATGTGGAGTTATTGGTATCATCTTACAGCTTGTTCAGTTGTCTTGCTATCGGTGAAAAAAAACACCCATCTATCTTGAATGGAAGTCGAGATAATTGAGATTGAAGAATGTGAGGTTGCCTGGTTTCAAAGGTAGAATTAGCGAAAAAATGGCCGCCAAAGTGTGGTTATTTCCATAGCTTGATAGTCCATGAAAACGGAAAACTTACAATATTGGTGCCTTTAATCAACGTTTTTTAGTAAAACCCACTCAGAAATGTGTTCTTAATTGGACAAGTGGTTTTAAGCTAAAAAAAAAAAAAAAATTTGATAAAAATTGCCACACGGGCAGAAAAATGACACTTTCTTCAATTTCATTATTTTGACGAGCACCTGATTTCACTACGCTGCCTCATAAATTATAAATGAGCTAGAGTTTTTTTAATGCAGACAGATGAAAGTGGACAAGCTATATACAGTGGAACTCAGCTTCAACGAGGTCGCCAGGCCTGACTTAAAATCTCATTGAATCCGAGTGTTCGTTATAGCAAACATGATGAGGTTCTGTGTAGATAATTACAGGCACAGAGCAAGTAATGTGTAAAGAGAAGGAAGTAACAAGTATTTCTGAAATGCCTGCATATTATGAGCTGGGTAAAAAAAAAAAAGACCGATTCATTCAAATGCACGCCCGTGTCATCTCGATTGTTTGCCAAAAAGTTGTGTAGCTGTGTAGAGCCTAGAATACGGCAACTTTTGATTTCATAGACCAGCGCAAAATTCATTACGCAGATCTACGTCAAGACTAGCTTATCGTTGTAATAATGATCAGTTGCCGAGTGGGAAAAAAAAGACTTGACGCATTTGTATCTGCAACATTCAACGCCGGACCGCTGGTGAGCCCCCCCCCCCCCCGACACACGCACACACAGTCACACGTGTGCAGGCCGCCCATCCAACCCCGACACATGCCAGAGTAGACACGTACGCCTGTCAACAACGCATGTGTTGGTATGAAAAAAGGCCGCTAATTAGTCGCATGCAATCGGCTAAGTGAATAATAGTTCACGATGCATATGTGCAATGGATGGTTTCCGGGAATAGATCTATAAAGTTTGTTCTGGGAGAAAAATTAATGAGCGAAGCCATGTCTGCGGGGGCTGTTCACCATGGAAGCAACCTCGTTGAATTTGAGCTCGCTGATTTAAGGGCTTGTTGAATCCCGGTTATTTTTATTGATTTTAAAGAAGAAAAAAAACCAGTGAATCCATCTCTTCTCGTTGAATCCGAGTGCTCGTTGAATCCGAGTTCTCGTTGAATCTGAATCCCACTGTATAAATTTATATAATATATCTAGCCTATAGCCTAGTAATTAGAAATTAGAAATTAATTCTCTCGTGGGCTCTCGTGGCCTAGAGGTTAAGGTGTTGGCCTCTCATTCAAAGGTCCAGGGTTCGAATCCGGGTAGTGACCGAAAAATTTTCTTCTCTAAAATTGTCTCCTTTCACCTCCTTTCCTGCTCTCTAGCAATATTCTGTCGTCTGCTTTCGTCTCCTCTTTCTGCCCCCACCCCCTCACCTCCTTCACCCCCTCCTCTGGGCTCCTGACTCTTTCTGCAGCCTTTCTACTGCTACTCCTTTACTCCTTCTTACAGCTGTCTTTCTGCCACACCCCTGATCTTCTGGTAGGAAAGATCTACACCTAGCCTTCTTGGACAAGGGCGAAAAATCTTGGAGGGCCCGTGTGCAAGTTGCGCACGTTAAAGATCCCTTGGTGGTCTAAAATTGATAAGAGTAGGCTTCGGCCGCCACTCGGGCAAAATTCAAAATTTCCAACCCACTAAAAGTATTAGGTGTGTCCCGCGCGCTCATATGACCTTATGCAGTTGCGAGCGCCGTAAAACACTTACCAAAAAAAAAAAAAGAAATTAATTTATACTAAATTATACAGTAGGCTAATATCAAGATATATGTGTCACGACCAGTGGAATCACATATGTGCAGGCGCTCATCAATTTTTGGTGATATCATCTTAAAGCCTGTTCATTTGCATTCCTCTAGTTTAAAAAAAATCCATCTATGTTGAAAAGAAGTCAAAATATTTGCGATTGAAGGAGGTCAGTGTTACCTATTTCCAGAGGAAAAATTAGTGAGAAAACTGCCGCCAAAGTTAGGTAAGTTCCATAGCCTGATAGTACCTGGAAACTGAAAATTTACATTTTTTGTGCATATAATTAACGTTCTCAGTAAAGAAAGTGGCTATTCTCACCCGCCCGGAAGTTCTCGCAAGATCAACTCCTCCCCTCTTCTCTCTCTCTGTCTCTTTCTGAATACTGTCTATCGGTGTGGACGATCAAATTGACCAAAACAAAGTTTAAAAATGATGTTAAAACACAAAAGTAAATAAATTTGGTTGTCTACAAAGATGCTACGGCTATTTAACTTTTCGAATCGAGCCGAACTACGCGGGTCGCCATTTTGTTTTGCCCGAAAATTCTCACGCTACTCCTCTCTCTCTTTCTCTCTCCACTGCCCACAGACAAAATTGTACGCTTTTAGTAGGCTACAATTGTAATGGAACGTTTGTTCACGGCACAGAATTCTCCAATTTTTCTGTTATCACAGTGTAGAATTCTGTGGTTTAGGGTGAACGCAAAATTTGGTGAACGCGCACCGGGTGAGAATAGCCACAAGACTCGCCTGCACTATTCTCACTCCGGGTGAGAATAGAGGTGGCCCTCAGTAAAACCCACACAAAAATGTATTTCTAATAAAATTGATATAACAGGTGATGAAATATAAATAACATCTCAAGGCATCAGTGGCAGTTTAAATTTTGTTTTTCAGGGGCAGGGGGGCGTGGAGATTCAAGCTTCATCTTTATAGATCACTCGTTGGACAAACATTAACAGCTATGTCCCAGATCCAGTTAGATTCTAAGTGTAACACGACGTTCTATCGTTTGGTCACTTCAGACTTGTCCACTCCCAGAGAGGTCAAGACACTGATGTTATCAGTAACAGCGTTTGGTACGGGCGCACGGTAGACCTAAGACCTAGACCAGAGTCGAGATGGTATCAGGCCGTAACATTTGACAAGCACAACACCGACGATTTCTTAACAGTATCAGTAGCCTATAATTTGCTTACTTTGTGATAGCTTTAGTGATCACTGGTCTGTCTTGTAACAATCTCACATATTCTGCGAGAGCTCTAGACAATGCACTGTCCTGCTTCTTCCTTTCGTCTGGAGTCCCCATGATTTCAGGATGAAACTACCAACTACCAAACTGAACTACTGATCCAAGGAATTAGATCGAGATCTTGGCCTACTCTGTCGGGTCTGTACTGTCGGCTGACCTGACCTGGGCTGACACACTTTTGACCTTTGACCAGATCATTTGCATGTGAAAATGAAAGTCCGCTAGAAAGAACATTCGCAAGATTTCTAATAGAAGTTAACAATTCGGCTATTATAGTACACATTGTACAATAATATCATTATGTAAATAATATTTTCGAGCATAGAGATAGAGTGGTGTACAACACAATAAAACTCTTCTTGATCTAGATCTAGATCTAGTTATTATAAGTATAGGCCTAAATTATAATAGGCCTAGATCTAGATCTAATTAAAATGTATGTGAGTAGGCCTACTGACAGTTTTATATTATATCAATTTAATGCTTTGAGGTGTAGTATTATACTGAACCTGAAAACAATCTGGAACCTTGTTTGTGTTGACATCTATGTGTTTTACGACGCTCGCAACTTCATAGCATCATGATTATGAACGCACAGACGCGGAACATATTAAACAATTTCAGTTTAGGGGGAATTACATTATATGTAATTATGAATTTCATCCGGGTGGACCACCAATTGGATCTTTAACGTGTGCAACTTGCACGAGGCACTCTCAAGACTTTTCGCTCGAATCCGAAAAGGCTGGGTGTTAGAACTTAAGAAAGACATCGGTAAAAAGAAGCCAAAGAAGAGCAGTAGCTAGAATAAGGCTGCAGAAAGGGGAAA